GCAAGTTTAACATGGATTACTACTGCTTTAACTAATAATCCTGAAGTTCAATATAAAGCTCATCAAGAACTTGATCAAGTAATTGGTCAATCTCGCTTACCAAATCTTTCCAATGAACCAAATCTAGTAAATATAGTTAAAATTTTCATCAAGATTTGCATATTTTGACCCGGCCGGGTTATGCTTTTTTTTTTTCCTGAATAGGCTGAGCGAGGACTTTTTTTAGTGGTCTCTCATCTTCTCTGGTGTTTCCCAATAGAAAATGCGTCATAGTTAGGTGGAGATGGTAAACCAATACCAATTAATTTAGAACAATTACGGTATAACTGAATGGCCTTAAAAGTATAATATTAAATTAGTAAAAAGATATCCAATCTAAACCAAAAACTTATATGCAGCCAACTTTTTCTAAACCGAACTTAGTTAAATTGAACACATAATTAAAGTTTAATTTGTCATTTAAAGCATGTTGCCAAATTACAAGAGATTTGATAAGGCATTTCACATTAAAAATATTGCAATGGCTAATTTTCCAAACTATTTAAAATATGTAGCTCCCAACATTGATTTAATATATTCCGCAATAATAACTTAATGATTTATGTAATGTATAGAAATGTCCTCACTTAGTGATATGGATCGATTAATCATATTCATCATTTTATCGATTATACAAATCCATTTAATGAGCAGTCTGACATAGTTTATTTTACGCATTTACTTACATATAATAATTGTGACTATTATATGATGCATGCGAAATTATTACACAAATTAAAAAACGTTTTTCCCGATCAACCTTTACTCGCACGGAAATTAACGTATTTTCGCGCGTAATAACGCACAAGTGTGCGTTATTTCGCGTTATTTCGAAACGCACATGTGTGATATTTAGTAAAAATAAAATTTTATTATATGGTTACCCGTGTTTAGTGATGGCAACGCGCGGGATTCCGCACGGGATTTTTCCAAATTCCAACTAGCTGGCCTGTATTTAGTTAAAGATCACGCGCGGAATATTTGGAAAACCTGCAATTTGCCCGTGATACATAGTATTTAGCGGGGAGTGCATTATTTTGAGCCAAACCAAATTGGAAAAGTGGAAATTTTACGTGCAAATACGGTAAAATGTTAAATCCTGTAGAATGGCCAAAAAAAAAAAAGAATTTTTAAATTTTTGTTTTGAGAAATTACAAATCTTATTAAACCATTACGGAACAACAAGAATTCTTAATTGGCAAAAATTTTCACAATTAATAGATTCAAGTGCTTGTGAAATTGAGTGACCGGGGGTTTTTTTTTCAAATTCTTTAACTGTTTCTTCATGACAATTACTTTCTATTCTAATCTGCGAATATTTAGATACTTTTCCTAATATGATAAAATTAATTCATATTGCGAATTGTATTCCTTTTTCTATAGTAGATTTTGAACGTGGGTTTCTATATAAATTTTTGCAAAATATAGCTAAATAAAATAAATTTTAATATTTTTAAAAAGTTGCTGCATCCACTGAGTTTTCTAAGAAGTTTCGAAAAAATAAACACCGCCAGAGAAAAAGTAGCTTTCAGCATCCGGAAATTTGTGCAATTTTTTCAAACATCTGTAACAAGCTTTTCGATGAAAGTTCTAATATTTCATAACTTCAGTACGATTTTTTGCAGTA